AACTACATTGTACATTTACACCCTACAATCTCCATGTAAACCCTGCATTGTACATATTCAACAATCATTGTACATATAAACCCTACATTGTACATTTACACCCTACATTGTGCATATACACCTACATTGTACATATACACCCTACATTGTACATACACATTGTACATACAATCTTTTGACATAGTGAAAGATGCTATCGTTGACTACGCCAAAGAACGGGTCGTGACCATTACGACTATAATTCTCCTGCGACATTGGGAAGGCTCTAACCCGACCTTTACCATCCGTATTGCAGTCCCTGTACAGTGTGCCAAGATAATATTGGACGACAACACATTCTGGCCCGAGAACGTGAACTGCAGAGAATGGGTTCCCCGGAATACATGGTACTCTAATGATAAACAAGGCGAGAGTGAATATTAACCATGATGCCTTATCTTGCAAGTCTGACCATCTATGGATGTACACTGATGACCCTCGTTAACCTAACGACATGGAACATTCGTGGTATCAAACACTGAAAGTCTGAGCTGTGCAATAAACTCGACATATGTGACGTCGTGCTTGTTACAGAGCACTGGCTAGACATGGAAAATTCACAGTCTCTGGAGACACTAGATGACAAATTTAATGTGTATTCTAAATCCAGTTGTGACTCTAACCAGCACCAACGAGGTTTTGGAGGTGTAGCCATGTTTGTACGGAAAGGTGACTGGTGTAAAGCTACTCTTATTGACACCCACCACAGCCGCCACGTACTGTGTATCAAACTGCACATCTGTACCAGCCATGTGTATATGCTTGGGACTAGACTGCCATCTGTACCAGCCATGTGTATATACTTGGGACTAGACTGCCATCTGTACCAGCCATGTGTATATACTTGGGACTAGGCTGCCATAGACAAATGTCCTTGACAGTGTGTACTATGAAGAACTGTACGATATTATGGAACTTTATGATATTCTCTCTCAAGAATACCCAACATACCTCCTAGGAGACTTTAATACTGATATCAGTCATGATATTAATATGAAACCCAGGGCTAGGTGCCTCTTACGACTGCTTAGGGACCGTCACCTTTATTCTGTGGTTCCACTTGACGAGTCAAGGTACACTTTCCATAGTAAATGTAACAAAGTAAAATCATTAATTGACTATGTCTTTGTAGACATTGATTCACTAAGCTGTGTAACTGGATATGTCATTGACACTGGCATCCCATATAACATCTCAGATCACCTACCAATACTTGTCTGTATACTTCTTCCTGTACATGTTGGGTACTATCATGGAGAGAACTTAAACTGGACTAAAGCAAGTGAAACTGATCTAATGTTATATCGATATGAAACAGAAAACTACTTTGTTGGAACTGAAATTAACAATGCTCACTTTGATAACTATGTAGACTACATCGAATACTATTGTGATTATATCACAGGCTCCTTACATGCTTCTGTTGCCGGAAGTATTCCATCCACACGCTTTAGGCCATTTCTTAAACCTTACTGGAAGAAAGATGGTCTTAATAATCTGCATAAAGAAATGCGAAATTGTCGTCGTCGGTGGGTTACAAATGGTAAAGTTAGAGATAAAAACGATGCTGCCTATGCAAAATATAAAGAAAGTAAACGGCTATTTCGTAAGAAACATCGCCATGCAAAACACCAGTTAGCTAAAAATAGATTTGATGAAATCTACGAAGCAGCAGAAGTAGATGTTAAAGAATTCTACAAAACTACAAAACGTTACAAACGCTGCAAAGGTAATATTGAAAACTTACCTATGATTCTCAAACTTGCTACGAGAGAAAGGATATTTGCAGTCTGTTTGGACTTTATTTCCATTCACTAGCGACTCCTACCCTGATGTAAAATGTGACTATGTACATGCTCAGAATGTGAAAGAGCAAATTGCTAATATTGAAACAAGCGATGACATGCATAACGACATCGGTTCGCCATTGCACTGTCCATTCACTGAAGATGAAATCCATTGTACGGTAAAACGACTTAAAATTACGAAAGTCGCCTGGTCCTGACGGTATAGTGAATGAGCACATAAAGAAGGCTGGTAGATCGCTGCTGCATCATATTGCCTTACTATTCAATGCCAGTATTACGTTTGAATACATTCCTAAATCATTTTCTATAGGTCAAATTCTTCCAATACACAAGGGCAGCGGTAAACCAAAACATGACCCTGCCAATTATAGAGGAATAACCATGACGTCTGTATGAAGTAAACTCTTTGAAAGACTTCTCCTTAACAGACTAGAGTCCTGGATAGATACTAAGATAGAATTTCCCCATCCTCTGCAATTTGGATTTAGGCGTCACTATGGTGCTGAAACCGCCGTACTGACGTTAAAAGAAAACATTGCATATTACAATGAAAGGATGTCGCCTGTATACTGTGCATTCTCAGATAATGAAAAGGCATTTGATCGGGTGTGCCTTGATGGCTTATTTATTAAGCTGTATGCTATTGGAATAACGGGTAAACTATGGAGAATATTAAGGCTCTCCTATAGCTCCATGGAATCATTTGTATGCTTTGAAGGGTTTAAATCGGATACATTCCCCGTCAATCAAGGATTAGGCCAAGGTGAAGTAATGTCCGCCTGGCTATTCACATTATTTATGAATGACCTCCAATATGAACTTGGGAATTCAGATTCTGGCTAAAATTTGCCATAGGGGTAAATGCCCTGGGATACTTCTTGCTGATGATACTACTCTGATGAGTTCCTCTACCAAAGGCCTGCAAAATCTTCTCGATGTCGCTAAAAACTATGCTCATAAGTGGCAGTTAAATACAATGTAAGCAAGAGTGCGGTTCTACACTTTGAATGCTCAAACAATAACGTTAACATCAGTAATGTATTAATTGGTGATATGCATGTTTCACAAAGGAAATCTATTAAATATGCAGGTGTACATCTCAGTACAGGTAAATCATCACTTGAACGTACAAAATCTGCATGTGAAAAGCTACGAGTACTCATGAACACTAATCATAATAATGGGTTGTATTTTGGAGGTCTTAACCCGATATCTGCAGCACGTATCTGGGAGAGGGTAATCTTATCATGTGGCCTCTATGGATGTAACGTATAGGGTAAACTGCCTCTTAAAGAGCATGAAATGCTTGAAGTTGTACAACGGCAATTTTGTAAAAAAGGTTCAGGGACTACACAAGCGCACTCCCAGTATTGTTGTATTGGATTGTATCGGTATCATGCCACTACAGTATTACATAGATAAAACAGCCCTCTACCTATTAGGAAGGTTATGTAATGCAAAGTATAACTGTGTTTTTAAAGTAATGTTTCTAGTTCGCCTCGGTCAATTTATGTGTACAGATAGCTCTACATGCAATGTATATAGTAGAAAATCCCCGATATACAATATGCTGCAACTTGTACATAAGTATAACCTAAACGATATACTAGCTAACTATGTCAATAATGGTCAATTCATCAGTAAGAAATGCTGGTCCAATGCCGTAAATGATGCTACTAAATCTCATAGAGAAAATCTATTTTATGTTCATCTTAATTCACGACTAAGTCTGTCAAGATATATCAATACAAGATCCAGTAATGAAAACTATCTCTGGATGCTAGCTGCAGAGAAGAACGACCAGTTAACTGATATTGCAAGACTTGTATTCTATGGATCAGCTGAAATTGTTTCAAGAGAATGTTTATGCAAAACTGTCGCCAATGATATTGTAAAGCACGTGTTTATGTCATGTACGATAAATATGAATGACAGAAATGAACTTTTTAACTCCATATGTGATATTCTGGATGTAGAAACTTTTGTTAAGATCTGGGATCAAGATGATGATGTTATTCTTGCATTTTTACTTGGTGGATGTCCAATAGCGTGTATCATGGAACTAAAAAGAGATGTATGGGCAAAAGTAATAATTAATGTAGGCCATGTTATAAGGAAATGGCGATACTTGCTAAAACACTTGTATGTATATGAACATTTGTGACTATCAATAATCTATCGTACTCATTTAACGTAAATTATATTATTACCACACATTGTAATCTCCATTCAGTTGGAGGAAATAAAGAATATCTATCTATCATTGTACATATACACGCTACATTGTACATATACACCCTACATTGTATATATACACCCTACATTGTACATATACACCCTACATTCTGCATAAACACCCTACATTGTGCATATACACCCTACATTGTACATATACACCCTACACTCTACACGTACACCCTACATTGAACATATACACCCTACACTCTACATACACATCCTGCATTGTATATATGCTCCCTACACTCTACATATACACCCTGCATTGTCGTATACTCCCTAAATTGAACATATACACCCTACATTGTGCATATACATCATACATTGTACATCTACACACCTCATTGTATATATACACCCTACATTGTACATATACACCCTACATTGTATATATATACACCCTATATTGCACATATACACCCTATAGTGTGCATATACACTTGACATTGTATATATGCACCTATAATGTACATACACCCAACATTGTATATATACACCCAACATTGAACATATACACCCTACCTGGTACATATACACCCTACATTGTACATATACACCCTATATTGTATATATTCACCTATAATGTACATACACCCTACATTGTACATTTACACCCTACATTGTACATATACACCCTACATTGTACATATACACCCTACATTGTATATATGCACCTATAATGTACATACACCCTACATTGTACATACACACCCTACATTGTACAATGTCACCTGATGTAGTACATACACACCCGATAAGAACGTCCCTATCAGTAGAAGCCAACAAATGTTTTCTATGTTTTCACATTGTATCGAAGAAAGCCACAGCCAACCAGTGATACTGTGTACATAGATACACATTATATAATGCTGAGGTCATATCGATCTATATAGATTAAACCGGCACCAGAAGGCCCGGTAGAACCCTCGAGAGTGGCCGCTGTCAGTGTGCGCCTTATCAAGCCAGGTACAGTAGAACTAATTTAGTTTTACAGATATAAATTACTGTAAGTATTTGTCATCCAGCCACTGCTTCTATGTCTACCACTACTCCCACCACTACTACTACTACTATAATTCTACTGCTGCTGCTGCTGCTGCTGCTGCTGCTTGATTTCCTAGTTAAGGTAATGCCGGAAATGCTTGGAGAATGCTTTTTGGCTTCAATATCAATATGATGAAATTGACACAAGACAAAAGCACATATATGATACATGTACGACTCTACCTAGTTGGATATTGAAGCTCAGATGAAAAAATTACACTTGAGGGGTGACTTCACTGGAGGAAATGTTGACGTTTTAATTAACAACATTCGTAAATATTGTAAAACTGTAGTTTTGAAATACAGACTATAATTATTCATATAGCCTCAACTAATTAAATCACATAAATGATTGTAAAAAGTTTTGTGTTTTTGAACATCTATATGTGAAAAAGATGGAACTCTTGTAGTAGTTATATTCAAAATAATTACTTTAAAAAGTCTTAATTCAAATCGCATAGATAATCTTGTTCACCCATAGTATGAGCATTGATTGAACTGGCAACATGCGACTTGATATCTCTGCAGAACAATTAATTTCAAATTTATACCAGTATTTCATACTGGAGAAACAAAAAGGGGAAACCTCTCGTCAGCTATGGCGGGGTTTACTATAGAATGTGTAAAGCCCTTAATTTGACATGTAGTCAGGTTTACAAAGTTGTAAACAAATCAGTTACCTCAGGGGTCGTGTCAAAATCAAAACTTGGTAGGAAACACAAACTGGATAGCTTTGATAAGGGTGCCATACGCTGTGCAGTTTACAAACTGTATGAACGCAAAATCCCACCGACGTGTGCTAAAATACAAGATGGGATCAAAGATACAATAAATGTCTAGAAAACAACACTTATATTAGCTCTGGTAGAAATGGGGTTCAGGTACACCAAAAGGGGAGATGACAGAGCTGTGTTTAGAGAAAAGTACTCAATCCTGTCCATGCGATCAGCTTATCTCAGAACAGTTGAAGAATACCCTCAACTTATATACCCTGATGAAACCTGGTGTAATAAAAATTACTAAACCGATCGGATGTGGCTTCCTTCAGATTGTTTGGCACAGATTGTTATGTAGACGCCTGGTCATCTTGCATGCTGGTACCCGTAGTAAGGGACTGATTGGGGTTGTGAGGGACCATTGGGGGTTGTGATGGGGGTTGTGAGGGACTGATAGAGGGACTGGTCATGAGGGACTGATTGGGGTTGTGAGGGACTGGTTGTGAGGGACCCGTAGTAAGGGACTGATTGGGGTTGTGAGGGACTGATTGGGGTTGTGAGGGACTGATTAGGGGTTGTGTGAGGGACTGATTGGGGTTGTGAGGACTGATTGGGGGTTGTGAGGGACTGATTGGGGGTTGTGACTTTGTGTTTGAGGCCAAGAAATCTACTGGTGATGACCATAGCGAAGGAATGGCCAGGTTATGTTGGAATGGTTCGAACATCAGCTTTCACGGCAGCTGGATAACGCTGGATAGCTTGATTTTGGATAACGCCAGTTACCATTACCTGCTTGTCCCTGGTACCATCACACCCACCATGAGCAATCTCAAGGCTCACTTGCAGGATTTTCTCACTTCCTGTAACGTGCCTTACAGGCAATCAGAAACAAAACCCCAGCTCATGGAAAAAATCCGGCAGCACAAAAAGCCAATCACAAAAAGCGAACTAGCTGCAAAATAAGGCCACATAGTTCTGCGTACACCAGTACGGCACTGTGAGCTCAATCCCATCGAGCTGATCTGGGGTAACTGTAAGAATTTTATTGCTCGCAATATTACCACATTCAAGCTTTCAGACGTTAAAGCGCTTGTGTATGCTTCTTTGGCGAGAATTACCACAGAAGTGTGGCAAAAGACTGAAAACCGTGTTCTCAAAATCGAGGACGATTACCGTCTGCGGGACGGCGTTAACGTCGGACGGAGTCCTCGACCAGCAGTGATACTGACACTTGATATTTTGAGACGGTCCCTGACATGCACTGCCGGTCCCTGACATGCACTGCCCGTGCGTTACATAACAAAATGGATTTCCCAACCTTAAAGATAGGAGACAGCACAATATCACCAAGTGATCAAGCTCGAAACCTCGGAGTTATCTTTGACTCCTCCCTGAGTATGGATCGGCATGCAGACACTGTCTGTAAATCCGCCTTTTTTCCATCTGAGAAACATCAGCCAAATCAAGCACTTCATTGACAGATTAGCTATCCACTCATTAGTCCAAGCACTGGTTATCTCACGATTGGACTATTGCAACTCCCTGATGTTTGGCGTATCGGAGCAAACTCTCAACAAACTCACCAGAGTTCAAAATGCAGCAGCAAGACTCATCACTGGTGCAGGCAAATATGAACACATAACGCCAACATTACGTACACTGCATTGGCTGCCAATCAGACAAAGAATTGTCTTCAAGGTGTTGGTGTTTGTGCACAAGGCCCTTCACAACCAAGCTCCAGAATACCTGACTGAACTAGTGTCATGGTATCAGCCATCACGAACCCTGAGATCAGCCTCTTTAAAACAAGCAGTAGTGCCCTCTACCCGCAGAGCGAGTTATGGCGATAGAGCTTTCGCCAAAGCAGGTCCTCTGTTATGGAACCAACTACCTGAAAACTTGAAAAACTTGTCAGACATAATTCCATTCAAAAAAGAACTAAAAACAGTTCTTTTCCACAGAGCATTCGACCAAGCGCCTTAGAGCAAACCTTGGATTCAGGCGCTATACAAATTTGAAAATTATTATAACGCTGTCACCCTGTCTGCCTGTCAGGTGGGTCATAGTATAGTTTGTTTCTTAGAAATGTTTCTACCATGGAAGATTTTCTAAGTTTTTCCGATATTTATGAGTAATCATTATGATTAGGGAATGGTACATCGTGATTACTCATTACATCGTGATTACTCATATGCCGTATTAGGTCGAGGTGGTATGATTGATGATATATGAGTTTTGAATCTGAAATATCAACCATTATCAAATAATTGCCAAAAAGCATTTTCCAAGCATTTCTGGCCTTACTTTAACCCTCTTCTTTTCAATATGGAGCTCGTCTCGTAACACACACACGGCTATAATTCCTACTGCAGCTACAATATCTTCTACAGTTGCAACAGTGTTTACTAACTGCCACTTCAGTTGCTACATTCAACGACTACACCTCCAACTGCTGCTTCCTCTACGACTGACGCCACTTTTACACCTACTTTACAACGTCTACTACGACTGTTGCTACTACTCGTCTAGTGCAACTGCTACTACTAATAATAATACTAATACTACTACTACGGCTACTACTGCCGCTACGTCTAGTAGTAGCAGTACTGCCGAAGTAGTACTGCTCGACACAAGCAATAAGGATAACAACAAGCGCACAGGGGTGGATGGCATGATTACACCACAGTGGAGTACACCTCGAAAGGTAGATATCTTGGTCTCTGTTAATGGCTGACTTCTTTCTTTGGAATTCAATGATTCATGTTGGTATGGAGATTCTTGATTTAGAGCCAGGGAATATTGTGATCAGCATTCTCGGCGAGATGTACCGAAAGGGCAGATGTCAGATATTTGATCTTGTCTTCTATTCTCATGGTTATGGGGCATGATGTACTGTATTTGTCTCCACACTTGCGTGATATTTCATATACACATCCCCTTGGGTTTTGGGTGGATTGGTGGGACATCAACTATAGGAATGTATCTTTGTTCGGTCAGTTCTCTCTGTGTTTGTCCAGCTAGATTCTACCGAGATGCAGCCCGCAAGGGAGACGGTGTTGCTGGCCTTGTTGTTGCAGCATGTGTCAATGCTGACCATCACTAATAACAAGTACGACCACCTCACCATTGCCATCCACAGGAGTGTCCCACAAAATGTCCGGATATTGACCGAAATACAAGTAAGGTTCTTCAGAGATTCCGCCCTTGTCTTGGGTCTGTAACAACATCAGTGCTCTCTGCTGCCATTTGGCTGGAATACTGAATATTGGCGTATAAAGTGACGAGTATGTAACAAGTCATTCTATGAAAAATGGTCAATACAGACAACGGTGACCATTTAATCAGTAGTATCGACAATCTCCACACAGAGAAAAGCTAAACTTTCGCCCATCTCTGTACAGGATGGTCGATGGTTCACTCTAAGCTGACCCGTGAAGATCCGGGGTAGAATAGGTCTTCAGCAACCCATGTGCTTGCCATAAAAGGCGACTATGCTTGTCGTAAGAGGCGACTAACGGGATCGGGTGGTCAGTTTCGCTGACTTGGTTGACACATGTCATTGGTTCCAAATTGCGCAGATCGATGCTCATGCTGTTGATGACTGGATTGTCTGGTCCAGACTCCATTATTTACAGACCGCCGTCATATAGCTGGAATATTGCTGAGTGAGGCGTAAAACTAAACTCACTCACTCCCTCACTCTAAACTGTATTATTGAACATCTCCATACAAAGGTGAACGATGGTTCAGACAAAGCTGTACTATCGACCATGTCAATACAAAGTCAACCAATTATTCTATCAAATTATTCTATCGACCATCACTATGCAGAGAAAGGTGACCGATCTCTCAGACCAAGCTGTAGTATCGACAATCAATGGTCAATGGTAAAGTGTAAGGAACGCCGACCAGACTGTCCAATTCCTATTGTGTGATTCCTGCAGGGCATGTCCCTGCTGCCTGATTGATCTGATTTATTCCCCTAGGATCTGATAACTCAAGGTTCCTGGTCATTATTTGTCGCTACACGGAACAGAGCTTACCTTGGAACAGTTACCATCCTCGTACCTGACACTTGGCAGTACGACCCCTCCTGGACAATCAACACAACTCAGACATTTCAAGACGCAGACCTCCGAGTAGACTGGCCGCACCCAGGCCATGGAAGTGACCCCTATACCTTTCAGTGGGGCCCGTGTGGACATTCCGGACAGTACATCCACTTGACGCCTGGTTTTCTCACTGACCAGAACCAAGACAGAGCGGTCAACTACGGGGATTTGGGTGTGTTCTAAACCATTCTTAACATTTACTTGTAAATACCATTCTTGTAAAAGTTGGTTGATTATTAAAATGATCCTAAATAGGTTTGTTTAAATCTGAAAAACAATATTTTGTTTTTAGGACTGAGTGCATAATGTCAATAATTAATATCCTATATTTACTAGCAACACCTCTGTGGACACTTGGTTACTCATCATTTGATAATCCAGGTGCGATTTTCGTTCACGAGTTCGCTCACCTTCGCTATGGAGTGTTTGACGAGTATGGGCTGGGGACGGACACATTCCCGTTCCTGTACCTGGAGGACGACACACTGGTCCCTACTGGGTGTGCCAGTACGATCACCCTGGGAACATACCGCGGGGACTGTACCATCACCCCACAGACCGGGATGCCCGGGGGAGACTGCTACCTGGTGCCAGACAGGACCAGGAACACGGCTGGGGCGTCCATCATGTTTGATCCGTCACTACACACGGTGAGGAAATCATACCTGACACCAGGAACATCACACCTGAAAACCTTGAAACATGGAAGAAGCATGTCAGCCATACCCTTTGATAATGAAATGTAAAAAGTCTCTACAATATTTGACAGATTGAATGGTATTCCTTTCTGATACAGGTGACTACATTTTGTGAGAGCAATACCAATGACCCGGATTACCTTCACAACGACCTGGCCCCGAACCTGCATAACAAGATGTGTGGGGGCAAGGGCACCTGGGATGTGATTATGGAACATTCCGACTTCGCGGGAGGGGTCAACCCGCCCGTAAACATGAACGTGGATCACACGAGACCAGACATCAGAATATTGTACAACGGCCGACAGAGGACACCATCAGGCGAGGATATTTGTGGCAGACCAGTCGTCCTGGTTCTAGATTTGTCTGGTTCCATGCTTCAGGTGAACGCGAACTTAATGATGTTAAGTGGGGTAAAACTGCACTTTCATAAATAATCAAAATATATCATTGGTTGGATACTTAAGATAGTAATCGCCTTCAAACGGGACCTATTGTTGTCTGTGACTGATTATCTACATCAGGATGTACACAAGTATCTGTGCTGCCTCCAGAATCATCGCTACTTCAAACTGTCGCAGACCGCGGACAAGCTGATCAGAGACATCCTCCCCACCGGCACCCGTGTCGGGATCGTCACGTTCTCCACCACTGCCAACACACGCACCAACCTCACCGCGTTGTCCTCTGCAGCAGACAGAAACTCCGTGGCCCTGTCACTACCTCACAAGATGGATTATGGCGGGTTCACTGCGATCGGGAAGGGCCTGCTGAAAGCTAAACTGGTATATGGTGTAGATACTAATGATCTCTGAGTTTTCCCTAATTATGAAACTGTTAGATCTTAGGTCAACTCGTACATGATTTGAGGATGTAATACACCTTTCACACCCGAGGAATCAACATGAAACACCTACACCTTTCTACTAATGTGCGATTTCTTTGATGATTGAAATTCATTGTATTTCTGCTGAGAATGAGAGGAAGTGGTCGGTTACGTTGTAGATGTTAGAGACAGCCGGAGAACACGATGGTCGTATCGTGCTCATCACCGATGGTGAGGAAAATGAGGAGCCACGCGTTGATGCAGTGAAAGATGACATCGTGCGGTCCGGGCTGAGGATCCACTCTCTGGCCTACAGTAGGCAGGCCGAGGCCGCCATCAGGGGGCTGTCCGAGGACACAGGTACTGGCTCACTGTACCCACCCGCCCCATAAACCAGCCAGACGAGGTGGATCTTGTCTGCCATTAGGAGACAGGGTGTAAAGACGAGGTTCTGTAGTTTATGAGTACACCACGGAGACTAACCAAGGCAGGCGTACACTGGTATCTTATTGACGTATGTCATATGTGTCTCTTTACCATATTACAGTCTAACAAAGACAAACATTAATGGCTGTATTTGTATGTCTGTATGAATGTGTCTGTTTACCACATTACAGTCTAACAAAGACAAATATTACTGGCTGTATTTGTATGTCTGTATGAATGTGTCTGTTTTTCCATATTACAGTCTAACACAGACAAACATTACTAGCTGTATTTGTATGTCTGTATGAATGTGTCTTTTTACCACATGAAAGGCTAACACAGACAAACATTACTAGCTGTATTTGTATGTCTGTATGAATGTGTCTGTTTACCACATTACAGTCTAACACAGACAAACATTACTGGCTGTATTTGTATGTCTGTATGAATGTGTCTCTTTACCACATTACAGTCTCACACAGACAAACATTACTAGCTGTATTTGTATGTCTGTATGAATGTGTCTCTTTACCACATTACAGTCTAACAAATATTACTGGCTGTATTTGTATGTCTGTATGAATGTGTCTCTTTACCAAATTACAGTCTAACAAAGACAAACATTACTGGCTGTATTTGCATGTCTGTATGAAGTGCACTGGAGTGCCTATAACGAGTTAACATTTCAAATGATTTGTATTCGTGTCGACATATCACATTTCGCTACTCCCGGAACACAAATCCATTTCAATGTGTAATTTCCAGGAGGCCACTACGTATTTTACTCTGAGAGCCCGACGTCGTCCGCCCTTGACAGCGGTATGGCCGCCTGGTTACACGATATAAATCTCTGTGATGACAACCTACTGGTCGAGGTATGTAAAGTGTAACTTGTTATGGGGGCATGTTCGAAGTTGTATAGATGATGGAAACCAAGTTCTATGGATAATTTGACTTGTTTATTGCAATGAGGGTAACGGTGTTAGTACCTACACCGGAACTTCACACTCATTACAATAGAGAAGTTGACTATCCATAGAACTTGGTTTTCCTTTATGTGAAGTGTAGTCAACATCTGTTCTATGGTGAAAATGGCATCTCCAAATTCTAGAAATTCGTAGCCGATTCGAAACAGAATGCTGGTTCTCGCCAAACTACGACTTCATTGTCTCCGGAAAGGCAAGGACGACAGGAAGTTCCCAATTAGCGCAAAACAGGGGGAACCAATGATGTGTTGGAGAGTTGGGAGAGATTGTAAAGACACGCGGAATCGGTCACGTGGGTACTGGTTATTGTCCAGCTTGAAATAAACATGAGGTCAACGTCTGATAGAGTATTAACCAATCATACTGAGGTACTATCTCACGTGATCTAGGTCAGGTCAGACTCACACTAAAAATGAAACATACAACTTTATGGACGACAACTTCTTGTTTATTGTATACAGCAACGTTTCGACGTAGTTTCTGACATCAACACCGAAGAAAGTTTCATTTTGGACTCACCAACGTCTGGAATGCCGATCAAACAATACTATTAACACCAGCAGAATAGATCGCGCATTAGGAATGACCGAGGCAAATCGCTATCACTCAGTTTGCCACTCATGGACTGAGGCAGAGTAAGTTTATGTGAGGATAGAACCTGGTGTTGCCTTCATATTTGTATGAATATCAGCCAGTGTATGAATGTGATTTAAACAGCTAGGAGTCACGATCGTTCGAAGCCTCACACTTTGAATGCCGGGTTAGAATTGGTCCTCAGCAACCATGCTTGTCGTAAATGGCGATTAATGCATATTGGATCGGGTGGTCAGGCTCGCTGACTCTCTCTGACACATGTCATCGTATCTCAATTGCGTACATCGATGTTCATGCTGTTGATCACGGTATTGTCTGGTCCAGACTCAATTATTTACAGACCACCGCCATATAGCTGGAATACTGCTGAGAGCGGCGTTAAACAACAATCAATCAAATGACTCAGGGACCCTCGACAGACCAAGTGAGTGGGGAGTCAAGGCCTTACCTGATGTGATACGAGCAGTAGGGGGAGGTAACTGTGGAAGGTAACTGTGGAAGGTAACTGTGGAAGGTCACCGGAGATCCATAGTTACCACACATCATAATGTGAAAACAAACAGTTTACGCTCTGCTATGTGATAGATGTTGCTACCACAATCACAGAAAGCTTGCATGTACCTCTTTACTCACACTCAATTCCAATATTACTGTCAAATGTACCAGGTGATGAGAACAAGCAGAGGTCTGACAAATCGGGGGATCGATGGCGACATTCAGATCGACTCTACTTTGCGGGAACATGTCTTCTTTGCTTTTACTCTCCCAAATCATGTCCCGGTGTTGGTGAGTTGAAACGATTGTTTTCACAGATTTGTAACAGCGTATGTCGTATAGATGCTTTTCAACGTACGTTGAATAAACAACCTGACACGTGCACAGGGAGAACAATTCAGACGACTGAATCTTGAACACAATACATATTTCAACATTCCCTTATTCTTCCGGTACACCCATTATATACATGAGAGTTTATAACTGATCAATGTTTACAGCGGCAGGACATATTCAACGTCATACAACTACAGCTGTTATAAGGTTCATTTAATCTCAGAGCACTTGCTTTGCTGTGAACTTCATTTTATGAGTGTCTCTGTCGTTATCACTGAGTACACTTGAGTACAATAAAGTACAATTGTATAGGTTCAAGCTGCAAAAATAATATGTTTGACTGACTGACAGAGTTTACAACTGGTAAATTTGCTCAGCACGAACTTATGTGACGCTTTGCATGTGCTTTTCATGTTTACATTTTCGCGGTTTTATGATATAGTTTAAGATAGCAGAGAGTTACGTTTCCAGACAGTTTATAATCCTAACATATAACATCCCTAATTGCAATACATCCATGTGCTTGGTACACCGGGGTGACTCTTCTTACTGTGTCCTCTCCAACCACGGAAACCCCACTATATCCGGGTAGATAGTGTGTTAGTGCCTTAAACCGATCATGGAAACCCCACCACTATCCGGGTAGATAGTGTGTTAGTGCCTTCAACCGATCATGGAAACCCAGCCACTAACCGGGTAGATAGTGTGTTAGTGCCGTAAACCGATCATGGAAACCCCACCACTATCCGGGTAGATTGTGTGTTAGTGCCGTAAACCGATCATGGAAACCCCACCACTATCCGGGTAGATAGTGTGTTAGTGCCGTAAACCGATCATGGAAACCCAGTCACTAACCGGGTAGATAGTGTGTTAGTGCCTTCAACCGATCATGGAAACCCCACCACTATCCGGGTAGATAGTGTGTTAGTGCCTTAAACCTATCATGGAAACCCAGCCACTAACCGGGTAGATAGTGTGTTAGTGCCTTCAACCGATCATGGAAACCCCACCACTATCCGGGTAGATAGTGTGTTAGTGCCGTAAACCGATCATGGAAACCCCACCACTATCCGGGTAGATAGTGTGTTAGTGCCTTAAACCGATCATGGAAACCGATCATGGAAACCCCACCACTATCCGGGTAGATAGTGTGTTAGTGCCGTAAACCGATCATGGAAACCCACCACTATCCGGGTAGATAGTGTGTTAGTGCCTTAAACCGATCACGGAAACCCCACCACTATCCGGGTAGATAGTGTGTTAGTGCCTTAAACCGATCATGGAAACCCCACCACTATCCGGGTAGATAGTGTGTTAGTGCCTTCAACCGATCATGGAAACCCCACCACTATCCGGGTAGAAGTGTGTTAGTGCCTTAAACCACCATCATGGAAACCCACCACTAACCGGGTAGATAGTGTGTTAGTGCCTTTAAACCGATCATGGAAACCCCACCACTATCCGGGTAGATAGTGTGTTAGTGCCTTAAACCTATCATGGGTATCCGGGTAGATAGTGTGTTAGTGCCTTCAACCGATCATGGAAACCCCACCACTATCCGGGTAGATAGTGTGTTAGTGCCGTAAACCGATCATGGAAACCCCACCGATCATGTGTTAGTGCCTTAAACCGATCATGGAAACCCCACCACTATCCGGGTAGATAGTGTGTTAGTGCCGTAAACCGATCATGGAAACCCCCACCACTATCCGATCATGGAGACCCCACCACTATCCGGTGTTGTTAGTGCCTTAAACCGATCATGGAAACCCCACCACTATCCGGGTAGATAGTGTGTTAGTGCCGTAAACCGATCATGGAAACCCCACCACTATCCGGGTAGATAGTGTGTTAGTGCCTTAAACCGATCATGGAAACCCCACCACTATCCGGGTAGATAGTGTGTTAGTGCCTTAAACCGATCATGGAAACCCCACCACTATCCGGGTAGATAGTGTGTTAGTGCCTTCAACCGATCATGGAAACCCAGCCACTAACCGGGTGGATAGTGTTTAGTGCCTTCAACCGATCATGGAAAGCCCACCCCTATCCGGGTGGATAGTGTTAAGTGCCCCTATCCGGGTGGATAATGTTAAGTGCCGTAAACCGACAATGGAAAGCACACCACTATCCGCGTAGATAGTGTGTTAGTGCCATAAACTAGAAACCGGAGCAAAGTTGTACAAAACTGCAAATTGAAACACACGTAAAATCCATCATACATGCCATATAGGACTGTCATGAGAAACAGAACGATGGATATGTGGGTTGTTTCCAATGTGATTACATCTCTGTGCATGTTCTACGGTTGTTAATTCCACGACGATAATAATAACATTTCTTTTTGGCCAGTTTACGTCGGTTGACGGACGCACCACATCGGGTTGAATCAACTCAGATAATATGATAATTACCGACAAGTGGCCATTGAAAGTGAAATAACCTGAATACAATGGACACCTTGGTAGTCGGAACTCCCCCGTGTGGGGGGTATAGGTTGTGAGATGCACTCAGTTTTGTAGAGACAATTGTCTGCGGCTGGCCCCAAGTTAGTTGTACTGTGGCAGCGGAATGTCCTCAATACTATGGTGACTTTGGAAGTGTTAATGCTTCTTCAGGTCAGCCTTCAAGCCCCAGACGGGAGCGTCTACACGTCCGACTCCAAGGAATTCAAGATGGATCCATCTCTAAACCTCATACGTTATCACATCCAGGATGCACAGGTATGTTCCATAATAGAATAACTCATGTACGCACGCTTCAGTTCAGAATGGAGGTCATCAGAGTATGAACCTTCAATAAGTGAGAACCCAACTGCAAGAGAACTTCGAAGAGAAATGGTCCCATGACGAGAGATGAGTCTGATCTGTGTGGATGTGACAAACACAGACACTGAAACCGACACAAACACCATCACGACCATCCATACCCACATCCGCACCCACATCCGCACCTGCACCCACAACTACACTGAAACCGACACAAACACCATCACGACCATCCATACCCACATCCGCACCCACATCCGCACCTGCACCCACAACTACACTGAAACCGACAAAAACACCATCACGACCATCCGCACCCACAACTACACTGAAACCGACACAAACACCATCACGACCATCCATACCCACATCCGCACCCACATCCGCACCTGCACCCACAACTACACATCCGCACCTGAAACCGACACAAACACCATCACGACCATCCATACCCACATCCGCACCCACATCCGCACCTGCACCCACAGCTACACTGAAACCGACAAAACACCATCACGACCATCCGCACCCACACTACACGCAAACCGACACAAACACCATCACGACCATCCATACCCACATCTGCACCCACCCACATCCGCACCTGCACCCACAACTACACTGGAAACCGACAAAACACACCATCACGACCACCCGCACCCACAACTACACTGAAACCGACACAAACACCATCACGACCATCCATACCCACATCCGCACCCACATCCGCACCTGCACCCACAACTACACTGGAACCGACAAAAACACCATCACGACCATCCGCACTCACATCCGCACCCACACCCACATCCAAACCTGCACCCGACTTGCACCTGCACCCGCACCCGCACCGCACCCGCACCCGCACCGAACCCGAACCCGCACCCGCACCGACAACTACACTGATACCGACACAAGCACCAATATCGTCACCGAAACCAATATCAGCACTGGCATCGACACCAACACCACAACCAACACCAGCACCGACATCGTCATTAACACCAGCACCAACTACGACAACGATAACGACAACCACACCTATAACGTTACTGCAAAACCTATCCCGATACCAATGCCGTTGTTCATAGATTTAATCACTGGATTGTTTGGTCCATTTATTTACATTCCAGTCGTCATACAGCTTACACACATCAACTAGGCGAATAGAAAATGATATGGGAACAGTTCTTGCTGAAAATGAACTACAGTGACATCGTTTGAAGATCTTTACAACACATAGATTATCGCCAGAAGCTCACAATTTGATAAGGACAACCTCAGTAAGTCTCAGTGACTCTATGTTGTAATACATAAAAAGGACGTCAAAATGGCGGACGCCACTCGGCTCGACACAGCCCAATACCACCTCGCCAAACTCCTATGCAATGCATAAGGCCGTGCACGTGCCTATCACATCATTCATGCTTGCGGCGTTCGTGAAGCTTATGTAGTTCCGATTGTTTCTGTTTGTTATTGACTTGCAATCTGAGAGTACAAACTTCCAGTATAACATGGCGGTGCTCGAACTACACGCTGACATCGCTCCTCCGTAGATGCCCGAGGTATCACATACACACAGGAACAGGCCGAGTGGACCGAGTTGCCAGTGAATGTGTTGCCATTAGTTGGTCACACTGCTATAACACAGCCCCGTAAAACTGTTAGACTGACTGACTGAGTTTTGATTTACGCCGCTTTAGCAATATTCCAGCTACATCACGGTTGGGGAACACCAGATATGGGCTTCACACATTGTACCCATGTGGGGATTCGAACCCGGGTCTTCGGCGTGACGAGCCAACGCTTTAACCACTAGGCTACCCCAGCGCCCCAAAACTGTTAGAACACAGCCTCGTGAAAGTGTTAGAACACAGCCTCGTGAAACTGCTAGAACACAGCCTCATGAAACTGTTAGAACACGGCCTCGTGAAACTGCTAGAACACAGCCTCGTGAAATTGCTAGAACACAGCCTCATGAAACTGTTAGAACACGGCCTCTTGAAACTGCTAGAACACAGCCTCGTGAAACCGCTAGAACACAACCTCGTGAAATTGCTAGAACACAGCCTCGTGAAATTGCTAGAACACAGTCTCGTGAAACAGTTAGAACTGTCTCGTGAATCTGCTAGAACACAGTCTCGTGAAACTGCTAGGATACAGTCTCATGACACTGCTTAAAGACAACCTGTCCCCGAGTGCCTGATGTGGTAGAACGTCATTATCACTAATCCCCTCCAGAGCAGACTATCCATCCCATTCACCTTGCACGTATCTATCACTACAGGTCGGCACTTGGAGATACCGGCTCACGACGAACAGCTCACTGTCAGTTTCGGACTCCGTTGTGATCACGGTCAAGGGTGAGGCAGCCAACAGCAGCGCCCCCTACGAGGTCAGCACTTGGCTAAATTCCATGTCTGTAGGTGTGGGCGAGGAATGTACGGTGTATGTCCATGTCCACAAAGGATATGCACCCATCATTGACGCCGATGTTACTGTGACGGTGGAGAGACCAGCACCGGCATCGTCGGTCACGTTGACACCTCGTGATGATGGAGTTTGTAAGTACTTATAATTATTAGCTTGTTTTCCCTGCATAACGCGTTTCTATGTAAGCAGCTTATCAAGTAGAACTTACCTTGCACATGCAGATGTGTAATTGTTGTTTGTAGTTGGCGGCTGCGGGACATGTTTACCCTTTTGGCGAACACCTGGTGTCTTCACTGTTTATTGGTGGTCCAATCCTGCAATTTCCAGTGCTGTTTTTGAAAGCCAAGAACAAGAGTAAGACCTCCCGACACTGTAGCTATATGTGACAAGGCTGGCCGAAACCGCAGCTGAAGGTGACCGGACTGGGCGACACAATAGCTACAGGTGACCAGACTGACCTACAGGTGACCAGACTGAGCTACATGTGACCAGACTAAGCTACAGGTGACCAGACTGAGCTACAGTTGACCAGACTAAGCTACAGGTGACCAGACTGAGCTACAGGTAACCAGGCTGAGCTACATGTGACCAGACTAAGCTACAGGTGACCAGACTGAGCTACAGGTGACCAGACTAAGCTACAGGTGACCAGACTGAGCTACAGGTGACCAGACTAAGCTTCAGTTTAGGTACAGTCTATCATGCTGAGGTGGAAATGGTGTTGGGCCACTATGATCTGTTTTTGACAAGTACAATACTGAGGTACCTGCGTACTTGAAACGTGTTTGTGTTCCAGTGCCGGACAATATGGCCTACGACGGTGTGTATTCAACGTTCTTCACACAGTTTGAGGGCAACTCAAGATACGCCCTGGATGTGGCTGTCCGATCTGTGCCAGGGAAGACTCTGTACCACGTCCACACAGTGATGTATGGAGCAGCCAGATCCAGATTTCATAGTGAGGCTTCTATGTATGCACGGGGTGTTCTGTAGGTTGGATGATTGATGGAAAGATAGAATGTAATGATTTATTCCCATGTCGTCTCAATGTATAATATTCTGATACTAGCAGAGCAATAGCTATAGATATAGTATCAGAAATCAGCGCTTTTATGAACATTAACGGCTTCCTTTGTTAAGTTTCCCCTCTCCTAGCTATTACTTTTGTTACTCTTACGTGTCTACATATAGAAAAAAGTATCGCAACACCTATTGGTTTTTACGTCCATAAGCCATTTACATCCATATCATTTTGTTTACCATATTTTGTCTTCCTCAACTGACAACTGCTCAAAATGGCAAGTTAATGACATGTAGAATGCTGGCACGTCATTAAGGGCTATTACAAGAGATGATGGTTGTCAGCCATCGCCTGTCAGCGGACTGGCCAGAACACATCAGTAAACTAATGACAGGAAGGACCGTTAGCGTTCAGGTCGACCACGCAGTGATATCTCCTGGGGAAGATACAGTCCTCACAGTCAACGTTCAGGTCGACCACGCAGTGACATCTCCTGGGGAAGATACAGTCCTCACAGTCAACGTTCAGGTCGACCACGCAGTGACATCTCCTGGGGAATATACAGTCCTTCTCACAGTCAACGTTCAGGTCGACCATGAAGTGACATCTCCTGGGGAAGATACAGTCCTTCTCACAGTCAACGTTCAGGTCGACCATGAAGTGACATCTCCTGGGGAATATACAGTCCTTCTCACAGTCAACGTTCAGGTCGACCACGAAGTGACATCTCCTGGGGAAGATACAGTCCTTCTCACAGTCAACGTTCAGGTCGACCATGAAGTGACATCTCCTGGGGAATATACAGTCCTTCTCACAGTCAACGTTCAGGTCGACCACGAAGTGACATCTCCTGGGGAATATACAGTTCTCAGAATCACACGACTTCACTCGTTCATCTCAAGTGGAGTGTTAAGAATAGAGGAGCTTCCACATCGTCGTTTGTCCAGCTATTCGGTACGAAAACACCAAATACAGCGGGGTATAGAGCCAAACGATCTCTTAGATGTCTTCTGCCCAGAGCATAAAGCAGCTTGGTATCACGTTCGGCATCCATGTCGTTTGTTCATGACTGATGGCCGGGCTCGTGTTTTGGCTCCGCAGAGACATCCTAGACAGGGTTGTACAACTTTAGGATGATCATCCTCTTAACAAGGCCAGTCGTATTGAACGACCATGCTGGCGACATCGTGCTCGTGAAGTTCGTGATTTCCTTCGTCAAGAGGCGGTAGCAACTGTACCTGGTCCGGATCTCAATCCCACAGAGGATGTTTGGTACATTTGGCAGAATACACCAGAGAGACCCTACAGTACACAACCTTGGTGTTCTGGAACAAACCCTCCATGGAATGTAATACTTCTGATACAGTCAACTTCAGTTGTCTTTGCGTTTAGATTTGTCATTTAAATATTCCTTTAGGAGCAATTTATCTACCTTCTTCACTGTGACTAACGGTAACATATTGTTACTATGAACTATGAAGCCCATTTCTGGTGTCCCCCGACGTGATATTGCTGGAATATTGCTAAAAGCCACTCACCACTCACTCACTGATAATTACGGTTCTAATTGGTTCTAGTACCTTCAATGGTTATAATGACCTTTGATATGGGACTTTTTCATGTAATTATTCAATGTGGAGCAATCCCACATTTAACATTAAATATAATACGTCCTATCAGATCAGTGAGTCGTTTCAGTGAGGGGTAGGTCAAGGTCGCCACGGTTGTGTTGATCTCGTTACACCTCTTTCCTTTCAAATAGTGACAATATATACATCTTTGAAATGAAAGCTATATTTTGCATTGACATCCCCTGTGGACGTGGCAATGTCGTGTATGTTACATGTGTTTTCACAGACACAACACCCAGTGTCGTCTCGAAACTAGCTGAGAACTTCACCCGTACAGGTTCCCCGGGTGCAATGGACGTCACTGGTAACAGGAACGGCACTGACAACTACCCCCCGAGTAGAGTGACTGATTTCAAGGTCATTGCTGTTGACAGCAATAATAGAACTGTGACCTTGACCTGGACGGCCCCTGGAAATGACCTGAACAACGGAACAGGTATGTGTGGGACGAGCCTGACCAGGTCTCTGTTTGAATGGTTTCCTGGTAAAATCTTCACTCCTCTAATTAATAAACTAAAACAGTGTTGTCATTGTGGTATGCAGTTATTAATGTACATGCAAATATATATGTTCCATTGATCGCAGATGGTAATGAAGATGATGTGACAGTATTTCATATATTTCAGCAACTCGGTATGAGATAAGGATGTCCAACTCATCTAAATTCATCAGAACCTCGTACAAATCCTGCCCGAAGGTTGAGCCCTGGATGTTAATGTCGGGGTCTCTAAGACCCAGTCCTGCGGGATCAAAGGAGACAATAGTTGTTCACATTTCTAATAACTGGACAACAGTGGTGTTCGCCCTTCAGGCATCTGATGGGACCCATTCATCGGGGACCTCAAAGATCGCTGCGGCATCTTTTAAGCCAGTTGTATTCTACGGCAAAACGACGACAACTGTAAAACCGACAACTACTACTGTAAAACCGACAACAACTGTAACACCCACGACTACACCAACACCGACAACTACTGTAAAACCAACTACTACTGTAACATCGACTACACCAACACCGACAACTACAGCAACACCGACGACTACTGTAACATCGACTACACCAACACCGACAACTACTGTAAAACCGACAACTACTGTAAAACCAACTACTACTGTAAAACCCACGACTACACCAACACCAACAACTACAGCAACACCGACGACTACTGTAAAACTAACTACTACTGTAAAACCCACTACTACACCAACACCGACAACTACTGTAAAACCAACTACTACTGTAACATCGACTACACCAACACCGACAACTACAGCAACACCTACTTCAAGCCTGAAATCTAGGTTTGTTGCCATGGTTTCAACGGCTAGTATTGTTGGGGTATTTGTTCTTGTTGCGATTGGTGTTAGTGTTGGCTTCTGTGGAAACAAACTCTTGATACGTCGGAAGATTCGTACGTTGACAGATCCTTTCGCAGTCAGCAAATCGGAGATTTCTACTGTAAACATACACTTCAGGGCATGACTTTCGCTGTATTTATTTATAATCACTGTCATGATACCCGTATGTTGTTCATGAGAATGTATAAAAAGTAGCATTAAAAGATTTCTGTTTTTTATCGCAGGTAAATAATAGTAAATCCACCAACATTTCCCACCGTCCTCTCCTCCACCGTCCACTCTACCACCAGTCCCCTCCTTCGTCCTCTCTACAACCAGTCCCCTCCTTCGTCCTCTCTACCACCAGTTTCCTCCACCGTCCTCTCCTCCAACGTCCACTCTACCACGAGTCTCCTCCACCGTCCTCTCCTCCACCGTCCTCTCTACCACCAGTCTCCTCCACCGTCCTCTCTACCACGAGTTTCCTCCACCGTCCTCTCTACCACCATTTTCCTCCAACGTCCACTCTACCACCAGTCTCCTCCACCGTCCTCTCTTTCACCGTCCTCTCCACCACCGACCTCTCCTCCTTCGTCCTCTCAACCACCAGTTTCCTCCAACGCCCTCTCTACCACCAGTCTCCTCCACCGTCCTCTCTTCCACCGTCCTCTCCTCCACCGACCTCTCCTCCACCGTCCTCCCTACTACCAGTTTCCTCAAACGTCCACTCTACCACCACTCTCCTCCTTCGTCCTCTCAACCACCAGTCTCCTTCACCGTCCTCCCTACCACCAGTTTCCTCCAACGTCCACTCTACCACCAGTCTCCTCCACCGTCCTCTCTCCACCGTCCTCCGTCCTCTCTACCACCACTCTCCTCCACTCGTCCACTCAACCACCAGTCTCCTTCTCCGTCCGTCCCCTACCACCAGTCTCCTCCACCGACCTCTCTTCCACCGTCCTCTCTACCACCATCCCTCTCCTCCACCGTCCTCTCTACCGTCCCAGTCTCCTTCTCCCGTCTCCGTCCCCTACCACCAGTTTCCTCCAACGTCCTCACCTACCACCAGTCTCCTCCACCGTCCTCTCTACCACCAGTCTCCTCCACCGTCCACCTCCTCCCCTACCACCAGTCTCCTCCACCGTCCTCTCTACCACCGTCCTCCACCGTCCACCACCACCTCTCCTCCAACGTCCCTCTACCACCAGTTTCCTCCACCGTCCTCTCAACCACCAGTCTCCTTCACCGTCCTCCCTACCACCAGTTTCCTCCAACGTCCACTCTACCACCAGTCTCCTCCACCGTCCTCTCTTCCTCCGTCCTCTCTACCACCACTCTCCTCCTTCGTCCTCTCAACCACCAGTCTCCTTCACCGTCCTCCCTACCACCAGTTTCCTCCAACGTCCTCTCAACCACCAGTCTCCTTCACCGTCCTCCCTACCACCAGTTTCCTCAAACGTCCACTCTACCACCAGTCTCCTCCACCGTCCTCTCTTCCTCCGTCCTCTCTACCACCACTCTCCTCCTTCGTCCTCTCAACCACCAGTCTCCTTCATCGTCCTCTCAACCACCAGTCTCCTCCTTCGTCCTCTCAACCACCAGTCTCCTCCTTCGTCCTCCCTACCACCAGTCTCCTCCATCGACCTCTCTATCACCATTTTCCTCCACCGTCCTCTCTACCACCAGTTTCCTTCTTCGTCCTCTCTACCATAATTACTGGAATTCTCCTCCATCGACCTCTCAACAACCAGTTTCCTTCCTCGTCCTCTCAACCATCAGTTTTCTTCCTCGTCCTCTCAACCAGCAGTCTCCTGCACCGTCCTCTCTATCACCAGTTTCCTCCATCGACCTCTCAACCACCACTTTCCTTCTTCGTTCTCTCTACCACCAGTCTCCTCTACAGTCCTCACTATTACCAGTTTCCTCTACCGTCCTCTCTACCACCAGTCTCCTTCACCGTCCTCTCTACCACCAGTCTCCTTCACCGTCCTCTCTACCACCAGTCTCCTTCACCGTCCTCTCTACCACGAGTCTCCTTCACCGTCCTCTCTACCACCAGTCTCCTTCACCGTCCTCTCTACCACCAGTCTCCTTCACCGTCCTCTCTACCACCAGTCTCCTTCACCGTCCTCTCTACCACCAGTCTCCTCCATCGTCCTCTCTACCACCAGTCTCCTCCACCGTCCTCTCTACCACCAGTCTCCTCCACCGTCCACTCTACCACCAGTTTCCTACATCGACCTCTCTACCACCAGTCTCCTCCACCGTCCTCACTACCACCAGTCTCCTTCATCGTCCTCTCTACCACCAGTTTCCCCCATCATCCACTCTACCACCAGTCTCATTCCTCGTCCTCTCTACCACCAGTCTCCTCCATCGTCCTCTCTACCACCAGTCTCCCCCATCGTCTACTCTATTACATGACTTCCCCACTGTCAACTCTACTATCAGTCTCATTCCTCGTCCTCTCTACCACCAGTCTCCTCCATCGTCCTCTCTACCACCAGTCTCCTCCACCGTCCACTCTACCACCAGTTTCCTACATCGACCTCTCTACCACCAGTCTCCTCCACCGTCCTCACTACCACCAGTCTCCTTCATCGTCCTCTCTACCACCAGTTTCCCCCATCATCCACTCTACCACCAGTCTCATTCCTCGTCCTCTCTACCACCAGTCTCCTCCATCGTCCTCTCTACCACCAGTCTCCCCCATCATCTACTCTATTACATGACTTCCCCACTGTCAACTCTACCATCAGTCTCATCCCTCGTCCTCTCTACCACCAGTCTCCTCCATCGTCCTCTCTACCACCAGTTTCCTCCACCGTCCACTCTACCACCAGTCTCCTTCACCGTCCTGTCTACCACCAGTCTCCTCCATCGTCCACTCTACCACCAATCTCCTCCACCGTCCACTCTACCACCAGTCTCCTTCACCGTCCTGTCTACCACCAAACTCCTCCATCGTCCTCTCTACCACCAGTTTCCTCCATCGTCCACTCTACCACCAGACTTCCCCACCGACAACTCTACCACAAGTCTCCTCCACCGTCCTCTCAACCACCAGTTTCCTCCATCGTCCTCTCTATCACCAGTCCCCTCCATCGTCCACTCTACCACCAGTGTTTCTCCATCGTCCACTCTATCACCAGTCCCCTCCATCGTCCACTCTACCTCCAGTCTCCTCCATCGACCTCTCCTCCACCGTCCTCCTTACCACCAGTTTCCTCTATCGTCCACTCTACCACCAGTCTCCTCGACCGTCCTTTCAACCACTAGTCTCCTTCACCGTCCTATCTACCACTTGTGCTTCTTTTCAATTGAAATGGGATTATTTGTTTCAATGAACTTCATATGTTTTCCACGTGACTAGGTGTAAGCCTACAGTGAAGCTGGTAGTGTACAAAGTTCTAAACCCGTGAAGATCCGGGTTAGAATTGGTCTTCAGCAACCCATGCTTGTCGTAAAAGGCGACTAACAGGATCGGGTGGTCAGGCTCGCTGACTTGTTTGACACATTGCCTGGTATCCCAATTGGGCAATAGAACGATGTTCATACTGTTGATCACTGGATTGTCTGGTCTAAACCACCGCCATATAGCTGGAATATTGCTGAGTACGACGTTAAACAATCAACCAACCAACACAGTTCTAATTGTTGCCTTTTTATATCTTTCTTTCCCGTGATTACGGACACTATTCTATACAACCTCACGTCAATGAACAGGTCCATCGGGGCAGGTATTTTCCATGCAGCACAGTAGCGGATGATATAGCCTCGCTCTGCAGACCCCATAAACCACCAGAACAACCTTCTGTCAACTGTTTGACAGTTGCTGCACGAACCTGCCCGTATTCTGAAGGTTATGTTTTGTGCTGCATTGTTATTGAATGTTTCACGACAGCAAGAGCCGCCTTGAAATCACATGTAGATTATCAGCATACCCATAGCTCGTTGAGGCGAAAAACACATCAATTTATTGAGTAAGCGAATTACTTCGAGACAAGCGATGTTGTGAAATTAGTCCGGTCTGTTGAGTTTTTGAGAAAGACCAAGTCTGCGAGGCTTCTTTGATGGGAGGCGGTGATTGGGAAGAACCCTATTCAAGTCGATGTATTTCAGCAGCAGCTAACTGATCTGTGTCGAGTGTGGTCGCTGAATATATAGGACATAAATAGCGTGTGAATCCTGTCATCCGCCCCAGGCAGCAATCAAACAGCGCCCCGCCCTGTGTAACCCATCGAGACAAGCCGGTAAACCGTAGCATAGCCACCCATACAGGCAGTGAAACATCAGGCTAACTGAGGGCGGGATGGTGAGGCAAGGGTGTGGGGTGGCTACAGTACATGTGTGAGTGAGTAAGTGAGTGAGCGAGTGAGCGAGCGAGTAAGTTTAGTTTTATACCGCACTCAGCAATATTCCAGTTATATGGCGGCGGTCTGTAAATAATTGAGTCCGGACCAGACAATCCAGTGATCAACAGCATGATCATCGACCTACACAATTTGGATATGAAGAAATGTGTTAGCCAAGTCAGCGAGCCAGAACACCCGATCCCGTTAGTCGCCTTTTACGAGTTTGTCTGTGGAGGTTGTTCATCAATATACAACCAAATCTACCATCAGATATCCAAACCGAAGTTGATATGACACAATACAGCACCTTCTATCTACCTCCATTCAACTGTAGTCCATCAGTAAACACAATAGATTACATGTTACAGAAGGCATGTTTATTACAAACATATATGACATCACACGCTCTGATTTATTTACAACTATGTTCAGTACATAAATAGGTCAATTTATCGGTCAGTATGTACACTATATTTACAACACATGGTGATCGGACTTAAGATGGACTGTCCAAAGCCTTGTCTATACACAACACACAAAGTAACGCATATACAGTGCATCCCTTTACTCAGGAAGGTTATGTTTGCAGCATACGTGCCCGGACCAACAAGTTTGAGAATTAATGAATCATGATTACGTCCCCTTGTTCCTGTAAAGATGTCCTCAGTTGGATCAGTGAAACTTCCATGAGACCCGGTGATACCGGGAGGTTGTTGTCGGTGTCTTCTGCTGATCATACCCGACTGGTGTGTGACTGCCAGGTCCCTGTATATGGGAACGCTGTGGGATGTGTGTCTTCCTTGTATGGTATGCTGCACCCACGTGGATATGCACTAGCCAGTGGTGGGAGGACTACTTCCGGTTGTTCCAATGTTGAGACACTGACAGTGGGAGGGTACTTCGTGTGCTACCAGCTGAGCCCCGACCCCCCGGAGTCCACACCAGGCTCCAGTGAGCCCGGGTCACCTGCTTACAGCGTGCCCGTCCCCCTCCCCCACATGGCGCGTCCTCATTCCTGAAAGATGCAAACAACACGATGGCCAATCACACCCAGTTACACCAGCAGTTATACGGCCTATCATCACGCGGGGAATGTTGGATTGTGATATGTCAAAATAATACCCGGTATCTAGTTCCATGTTTCACTTTAAAACAGGTCTATCTGCTAATTGTTCCACTGGTAAATCAGCGGATCCTGTGGCACCAGAGTGACGCCCGAGACCAGACAGTTGGGTTAACGTTTCAGTAGATATCAACAAGACACTACTATCTAAACTAAGATGTATATTGTTGTTAAACATCGTCCTAAAGTATAATTTTCAATGTCATAATTGCCATCAGATTCACTGTCAGGTACCACATAAGTGATGATGCAGTAAAAATTACAAAATTATAATTCCTTATACAATTATACATTACATTATACATTAAATTATACATTCTATCATGATAATTATGACTTGGAGCCCCACTACCGCAACTTCCCCATGTCTACCACACATGTCTTTGTTTAAACCCAGGGTATATACCACAACAGCCTGGACATACCATTCTGGTAATCCTGTATGTGATATTGTGTCTAGCCTTTACATTACAATACGTACGAGCATCTGCCTGTTGGGATGAACTGGAAGTTGTTGTTGAAGTTGATGAGGGTGTGGTTCCTGCCCTGGAAGTCGTTCACGGTCTCTATCACCTCGTAACCAATTTCACTGTCAACGTAGGACATACAATCTCAGCAATATCACAACATCTAGAATCTACAGAATAGATATGGTAAGTATAATATTATAATAGAACGTCGACGGGTGAGGGTCTAGTTTGTCATATACATGTATATCAATAAAATGTAAGAAGCCTGTTTCCGGTATACCTTAGGCTATTTGGCTGGAATACTGTTAAAGTGAAGTTAAACTCACTCACTCACTCACTCAGTCAGTCAGTGGGTACCTACGTCAGACAACAGCCACAGAGTCCGTCGTTGATGTAGCTGACGTTGCCCGTCTTGAAGGGGGAGCTGGAACTGAATGACCCCACAATGAGCCGTCTCTGAGCGGTGAATGTCGGCTTGTGACTCCGGGATAAGATGTGCGGTTCTGGAACCATACTCAGCAGGTCATCGTCAGACAGGAAGCGACCCGGGAGCATGCGCAAAACATCACTTGGTCGCTGCATTGAGCACATGTTGTTAAGGTTCATCATTGATTGGCTGAAAGGTTGAAATGGCGACCTGATGACCTGTGGTCGAAGAGGGCGCCAGTTGTAGTACATGGAGGAGGTTGTGCGGAGATGGGCGATGATGCAGAGGAGAAGAGCGAGGAACGTGCTGTGTGTTGGCACCTGCAGTTGAAAAGACACACACACATTTAACAGTGTCCTTGAAAATGGTGCTTTAAGTAAAGCTCAAACTTGACCGCTACGTTTCCACCAATATGCTTATTGTAGGACGTCCTGGTCACAGTACGTTTGATATAGTAACCATATGAATTATTTTGTTCCAGAATGTATCGACATGCTAGAACCCCTAACGCGGAAGCAGCCACCATTCCAACCTGAGAGAATTTATGGGCTGAAGATTGACGTCATCCTTTATTAACCAAACTGTCAAAGCTTCTTCCAGTGGGCAGCATAAATCTAAGCTCGGACATTTAATGTATAGACGTAGATGGCCTGTCTCGCCCGGGGCAGCTGCCTACAAGAATAGGCATTGTTGACGATGTTGAGAGTGTGACAGTTGATGTGGGAGTAGTTCCTGGCGTCTCACAGCCCGGGGGTGACCCTACTGACACACTTGACCATCTGACGCGGGTCATGCTGGTCAGTAAGTCCATGTTTGTTATAACCTGGTCAGTAGGTCCTACCTGTGTACATGTATGAAGCCATCTGTCAATCAGTAGCTGCTACAGGAACTGGCCATTAGAACACTAGGTGTAGCATCTTGACAATTAGCAGGAAAATGCTCAGTCAGCATGATGTAGGTTTCCGTGTGAGTGGTCTTCAGGTTGTTTACAAAGGGAAGAATGTCTGGTCTACATGATGAAATGTGACACTTCGCAATCCACTATACATCCGGATGCATGTGCTAGTCAAGCTATTCAGGCAATGCTATATCCGTACGATACGAGTGCGTGAGTGAGGTTTATAGGTGTGTGTGTTTGCGTACGTGTGTGTGCATGCGTGCGTACGTGTGTGTGTGTGTCGTATGAACACCTGGTGTTATCAGTGTACAAGCCACTATGTTGAGGAAGCTACTACGAGGGTTGAGCTATACTACATACATAATAATGATGCTGATTACATGAGACTGCATGGTTGAAAGGAGGATATCACTCTGAATGTGACCGTTGTAATTTCAAGTAAATATCATTTTAAGTATAAAATGCGTTATATTGATCCGACTCCAAGTTATGTTATACTACAGGGTATGTTATACTACAGGGCATGTTATACTACAGGGTATGTAATATACTACAGGGTATTAGCGTCTGTACTACTACTACATTACAGACTATTCACGATTCCCACATATCGGAAGACAACGGTGAGGTGTGGTTCCGTGTAACTAAGCTTAGTTAAGATACGGGAATGGCGGCTTTTCTTCCTGTAATTGATGGAAGTGCACTTGACATCACCAAGCGTTAACGATTGTTTCATGTGTTCATGTCGTTCTAAGAAACACGTTTGATAAACCTCGAAAACTGTGCTGCTCGTGTTTCAAGAAGAAAGGTATTTGTCAACTACAGGTTTGTCAACTGTCGGGGTCGACTGGCGGACGTTTTGTTCTACACGCTTTCAGAGGAGGCTCAGGTTACGTTCGGCGGAGCAGGCGGTCGTCCAGAAACACGCAGCCTCTGGTGGAAGATGGAAGAACAAGTTACCTTTGGTGTATGTGTGGTTATCACACTTAAATAGGAACAAGTCAGAGTACAGTTATACAAAGTTTGCACCGAACTGTAAGATGGTGAGAATCTGCCACGTGTCAGCCTAGCAACAGTCACTAAGGCAACCTGGGCAAAGCAAAGGATGAATATTCCTGTTACTTTATCTTTAATTAGTGTACAGGTTTAGCATCTAATGTATATGTGATCTGGCAGTACCAATATGAGTGAGTGAGTGAGTTTGGTTTTTACACCGCTTTTAGCAATATCCCAGCAATATCACGGCGAGGGACACCGGAAATGGGGAATCGAACCCGGGACGTCAGCGTGACGAGCGGATGTTTTAACTAGTAGGAATGTGACATGGCCAAGAGACTTTATCACGTCTCTTCTTCAGGGACATAGAAAGGTTGGTACATGGCAGGCGATACCCTCGACACTGTTCCCGTATGTATGAGTTTTACAGCAGTGTGGACCAGGGATACTAATCACCTGTCTCCGTATCAACAACAACCACATTAATCTAATCATACTGAGACGGAAGTGTTATAACAACGCTACTCCAGGGGCAGAGAGTTATAAGCATGGCCCTTATCGAGGATAAAATTGCCAAATCAGAAAAGTGACGTACATTCACCGACAGCTGAGCGTTACGTGTCACGTGATGTTAGTGTTAGTTTATGTCCAAATACGACCCAGAAACACATGTCAGTCATTCCAGACAAATAACTCTCTCCGATACGGCGTTATCTGTGTGTGTGTGTGTGTGTGTGTGTGTGTGTGTGTGTGTGTGTGTGTGTGTGTGTGTGTGTGTGTGCTCTTTGTGTGTCTCTGTGTGTGTGCGTGTGTGTGTCTGTGTGTGTGTGTGTCTCTCTCTCTCTCGACGGGGATAACCAGCCTCAAGGGAATTGGACATAACAGGATTTGTGGCTCACACATTTCCGTTAAAGAGGTTAAAAAAACTCTACCCCTAGTATAAAAACTTCTATATTTGAGTCAGGACTAATCACGACTGGCCGTGTATATGGGGCACATGTTACTACTTACAAACTTCACACTCAAGCTTGTGAAATGTGGTGTACATGTACTGCGAATATAGAATATCAGATCTGTAGTTGTATGTCTCCACCAACCACCAGCTACATACCATTGTTCCAGCAGTCTTGTATGTCCCGGGAGATTCCGTCTCTCTTTGTGTCTTCTCTTCTGGAGCTACCTTCTATAGGCCTGTACGATTGTAAACCTGATTGTGTACTCCGGTGTGTGAGATACGAACGTCCTTATAACCTCAAAGTGATGTTAACCACCAGCTGACGCAAGTCGCAAGTTTTTCCGTCAACAAAACAATGCCATACTTAGGTAGCAGCCTTCTTAAGATTGTGAGTGTTAACTATTTCAGATCGCCCCGATAGTTCGGCAGTCGGATGTATGTGAGCTGGACGCGGCGGCCACTATTTCCACAGGTTCGGCTTGCTTCTTATGTAGACTGTGTTCCGCCTACTCTGTGTTGCCGGCTGTCGGTGTTACCTGTCACAGGTGTGATTAGCTGAGACAAGTATACATCAATTCCGGGCCTCCTTCTACCGCGGAGGGGCATGAGGTAACTCGTCGTTCTGTTCGCTGATACGCCCAGAAGCCATCTGTTGTGGTGATGACGTCATCCTCAAATTCAATAATATTGTTTTATGGCAGGTCGTATGACGTTTAAAGGTTTTTTTAGATACATCTACATCATAATTTTAACATGTTATGTTGCCTAAGCCAGTGGCTGTTTTTAACATATAGAATCAAGATTTTGGTACTTGCCACTTCAACAGTACATCACATTGTACGATGTATTGGAAGAAAGGAACTTTTTTACGAAAATATTATTTTTAGGATGGCAATACGAAAAAGACCATAATGAAAATGGGGAGAAGCTGGTACATGGGTATATTCACAAGCAAAAGAAGTATACACCTGTGTTTTATGATGCCTAAAGAAGTACACACCTGTGTTTTATGATGCCTAAAGAAGTATACACCTGTGTTTTATGATGCCTAAAGAAATATACACCTGTGTTTTATGATGCCTAAAGAAGTATACACCTGTGTTTTTATGATGCCTAAAGAAGTACACACCTGTGTTTTATGATGCCTAAAGAAGTACACACCTGTGTTTTATGATGCCTAAAGAAGTACACACCTGTGTTTTATGATGACTAAAGAAGTATACACCTGTGTTTTATGATGCCTAAAGAAGTACACACCTGTGTTTTATGATGCCTAAAGAAATATACACCTGTGTTTTATGATGCCTAAAGAAGTATACACCTGGTTTTATGATGCCTAAAGAAATATACACCTGTGTTTTATGATGCCTAAAGAAGTATACACCTGTGTTTTATGATGCCTAAAGAAGTATACACCTGTGTTTTATGATGCCTAAAGAAGTATACACCTGTGTTTTATGATGCCTAAAGAAGTATACACCTGTGTTTTATGATGCCTAAAGAAATATACACCTGTGTTTTATGATGCCTAAAGAGGTATACACCTGTGTTTTATGATGCATAAAGAGGTATACACCTGTGTTTTATGATGCCTAAAGAGGTATACACCTGTGTTTTATGATGCCTAAAGAAGTATACACCTGTGTTTTATGATGCATAAAGAGGTATACACCTGTGTTTTATGATGCCTTAAGAAATATACACCTGTGTTTTATGATGCCTAAAGAGGTATACACCTGTGTTTTATGATGCCTAAAGAAGTATACACCTGTGTTTTATGATGCCTAAAGAGGTATACACCTGTGTTTTATGATGCATAAAGAAGTATACACCTGTGTTTTATGATGCGTACAGAGGTATACACCTGTGTTTTATGATGCCTAAAGAGGTATACACCTGTGTTTTATGATGCCTAAAGAAATATACACCTGTGTTTTATGATGCCTAAAAATGAAACCAACAACAAACTGTTATCCACCTGATGTGAATATAGTAGCTGTGTTTTATGCCGGACCTTTCGATGTTAAGACGACAGCCTAATAACGTTTTGAGGACGGTTATAATTTTGTGGTTAAATCCAGTGTTAAAGGTTATTGTAATGTCGTACTAAAACAGCCAGAAGCACTTTACTCAAAAATACATAGTGTTATCAACTGGCAGCATTTTCCCTCTGTGTAGTGAAAGGCGGTAATTGTGCATGGTTATCAAGCTACAATGTAGAGCATGCACATTGAATTACCTCTATTACTAGAGATTACTTGAGATTATGGAAATGGTTTCCCCGCCATTTATTTCCGAATGAGAGTGATGTTGTGAACATCTAACGGTGTGAACATAGCCATAGCTGGGGGAGTAATAGATAAGCGAGGGATTAATAACACCAAACAAATGACTGACATGGTGTAACGTTTAGTGTTGATTATGGTTATCGTACTGTACATCCAAATAGCATAAGGCATTGGACAAACGATACACATACATTCACATGATCTGGTCCAAAATACGTATTCGTTCTGCATAATAACGCTCTATGGCTGTTTGCTATGGTTTGTAGTTGTTGCTACTACCCATGTTCTGTGACACAGGTTAGCTATGGTTTGTAGTTGTTGCACCTACCCATGTTTTGTGACACAGTTTTGCTATGGTTTGTAGTTGTTGCTCCTACCCATGCTTTTGTGACACAGGTTTGCTATGGTTTGTAGTTGTTGCTCTACCTATGTTTTGTGACACAGGTTTGCTATGGTTTGTAGTTGTTGCTCCTACCCATGTTTTGTGACACAGGTTTGCTATGGTTTGTAGTTGTTGCTCCTACCCATGTTTTGTGACACAGGTTTGCTATGGTTTGTAGTTGTTGCTCCTACCCATGTTTTGGTTTGTAGTTGACACATGGTTTGACATGGTTTGATATGGTTTGTAGTTGTTGCTCCTACCCATGTTTTGTGACACAGGTTTGCTATGGTTTGTAGTTGTTGCTACTACCCATGTTTTGTGACACAGGTTTGCTATGGTTTGTAGTTGTTGCTCCTACCCATGTTTTGTGACACAGGTTTGCTATGGTTTGTAGTTGTTGCTCCTACCCATGTTCTGTGACACAGGTTTGCTATGGTTTGTAGTTGTTACTCCTACCCATGTTTTGTGACACAGTTTTGATATGGTTTGTAGTTGTTGCTACTACCCATGTTTTGTGACACAGGACACTAGGTTTGCTATGGTTTGTAGTTGTTGCTACTACCCATGTTTTGTGACACAGGTTTGCTATGGTTTGTAGTTGTTGCTACTACCCATGTTTTGTGACACAGGTTTGCTATGGTTTGTAGTTGTTGCTACTACCCATGTTTTGTGACACAGGTTTGCTATGGTTTGTAGTTGTTGCTCCTACCCATGTTTTGTGACACAGGTTTGCTATGGTTTGTAGTTGTTGCTACTACCCATGTTTTGTGACACAGGCTGCTATGGTTTGTAGTTGTTGCTACTACCAATGTTTTGTGACACAGGTTTGCTATGGTTTGTAGTTGTTGCTCCTACCTATGTTTTGTGACACAGGTTTGCTATGGTTTGTAGTTGTTGCTCTACCTATGTTTTGTGACACAGGTTTGCTATGGTTTGTAGTTGTTGCTCCTACACATGTTTTGTGACACAGGTTTGCTATGGTTTGTAGTTGTTGCTCCTACCCATGTTCTGTGACACAGGTTTGCTATGGTTTGTAGTTGTTGCTCCTACCCATGTTTTGTGACACAGGTTTGCTATGGTTTGTAGTTGTTGCTCCTACCCATGTTTTGTGACACAGGTTTGCTATGGTTTGTAGTTGTTGCTACTACCCATGTTTTGTGACACAGGTTTGCTATGGTTTGTAGTTATTGCTACTACCCATGTTTTGTGACACAGGTTTGCTATGGTTTGTAGTTGTTGCTACTACCCATGTTTTGTGACACAGGTTTGCTATGGTTTGTAGTTGTTGCTCCTACCCATGTTTTGTGACACAGGTTTGCTATGGTTTGTAGTTGTTGCTCCTACCCATGTTTTGTGACACAGGTTTGCTATGGTTTGTAGTTGTTGCTACTACCTATGTTTTGTGACACAGGTTTGCTATGGTTTGTAGTTGTTGCTCCAACCCATGTTTTGTGACACAGGTTTGCTATGGTTTGTAGTTGTTGCTCCTACCCATGTTTTGTGACACAGGTTTGCTATGGTTTGTAGTTGTTGTTACTACAAATGTTTTGTGACACAGGTTTGCCATGGTTTGTTGATATTGCTCTTACCTATGTTCTGTGACACAGGTTTGCTCACAATGAGTCACCTTTTCGGCGTTCATCTTAAGTTTCATTCTAGAGACAATGTTTTACTTATAGGAGAAGCTTCTTCATAATGGTTCATCTGCAGACATCAATCTTTCACCAAAGGGAGAAGATGGTTACTATGTTTCATCAAAGATGCTGGCGAACATGTGGGTCCAGAGTGGTCAATGAACACAGAGGGACACGTGGGTGGAGAGTGGTCAGTGAACACAAAGGGACACGTGGGTGGAGAGTGGTCAATGAACACAGAGGGACACGTGGGTGGAGAGTGGTCAGTGAACACAGAGGGACACGTGGGTGGAGAGTGGTCAGTGAACACAGAGGGACACGTGGGTGGAGAGTGGTCAGTGAACACAGAGGGACACGTGGATGGAGAGTGGTCAGTGAACACAGAGGGACACGTGGGTGGAGAGTGGTCAGTGAACACAGAGGGACACGTGGATGGAGAGTGGTCAGTGAACACAGAGGGACACGTGGGTGGAGAGTGGTCAGTGAACACAGAGGGACACGTGGGTGGAGAGTGGTCAGTGAACACAGAGGGACACGTGGGTGGAGAGTGGTCAGTGAACACAGAGGGACACGTGTGTTTGTTTTCTGAACTGGTGAAGTGACGCCCAGACTGAACTGCTCTTAAAGCGACAATTAACCCAGAAAATCCTCACACGATGTTTTGAATCAGGAAACAGAGCTGATAGGGTGTCAGTGGCAGGTTCTTTTGGACTCAGGATGTTCGTTTATGTATCTGTTTCTTTCATACAAAGAACAATGAAGTGTCAGCATATTCAATTCATACATTTCACATGCACTTACGTTATACTTCTCATACTATGAAACATGTCGTCCAACACTGGTGACCGTATTTCTTCGAAATGTGTTTTATGTGAACCATAAAAGTGACAAACCATGAATTCGTCACCTTACCTGAAAGGTACATTGACCTTACCCTGTGTCTCATGGATGCATGATGAAGTCAGCATGCACTCACTAACTCACTACTGGATATGCTGATCACGTGGCAATCATGACTACTGCATTAACAAATGAGAAGACAGAAGGATTAGCGTGTAACAAAGTTTGGCACCTGAAGGGAATAACTGATTTATCATCTGTTAAGTATGGAGGTGAAATGTCTATTCCCTACCGTTTCATCCCAACTTCCTGCTTTTGAG